AAATATATAGCAAATTCTTGTTGTAATCACCTCTAGGCCTTGGATAAGGAGGATGGTGCCTCTGGCCTCAAGTCCTCCTGCAGTTCTCCCCTCTGGCCTGGAACTGAAACCAAGATCTCTGCCCTCCTGTAAGTGTCTACAGACAGGGGAGTCCCTAAAGTCCCAGAAGTGCAATGCTTCTGCACTTACCACACATGTGCTGGTTCCTTCTCACCCAGGGCTGTGTCTCAGTAGCACAGCTGGGCCTGACATCCCTTATCAGCAGAGGTTCCCTCAATCTTCCCCACTCAGATGCCCAACTCCCCACATTGTCCAGGAGGTGAAAATTCCTGGGGGTGAGGCCAAGGCTGCCTCCCAACACAGCTAGCAGCAGGGCTTGCTGCTTGCTATTTCAGCAGAACTAGCCTGTAGGTATTTACACTTCATAGGTTTTCTTCCAATCTTCTTTGGTTGTCTCAGAAGGACTACTGTTCTGTCCCAACTGTTGTTTATTTTTACCACTCTAAGTTCACTCTGAGACACTATTTTGTCTTTTTTGTAGGGGAAATCTGGAGAGCTTTGAATTTTCTAACCTACTCTACCTTCTTCCCAGAATCTTCCCCTCCCTGGTTTTTAATCATCTGTAAATTTGATTTAGATACTATGTATGAATCATAACCAGATACAGACCTCTTAGGCATTCCACCAAAGACCTCTTGACAAGTTGATGTCCAACCAGTAATTACTATTCTTTCTGTCTAATCACTCAACCGGTTTTAAATTCATCTTCCTGTTCTATCGCCTACCCAGGTCTTAACCATCTTTTCTACAAGAATAGCATGCAAGATTTTGCAAAGAGCTTTTATAAAATCTTGGCAAAGTTTTACTGTTATAATAGTTCCCTGATCTACATGTCTAGTAATCCTACCAAAAAGGGGAATGAAATTCAGTTTGCCATGACCTGTTCTTGATGGGGCCATGCTGGCTCTCTGTCATGACTACTTCCTTTTCTTTGGTGCTTATCAGCTATATCCTTAATAATGCATTCCAGATTTAGGGTCAGGAATTAGAATCAACCTCATGGACCCATAGTTTGCAGACCTCATTCTCTTCCCTTTTTTCATCTATTTTTTCATATTTTAGTTTCTGTTTGACTGATTCGTGCTCTCTCATAGAGACATTAGTTTCCATTTGTCCAATTCTAGTTTTTAACAGATTGTTTTCTTCTGTTAGTTTTTGTACTTCCTTCTTCAATTGGCCAATTGTGTTCTTTAGGGACTTGTTTTCTTCAGTGTACTCTTCTGTTAGTTTTTATCCTTCCTTCTTCAATTGGCCAATTGTGTTTTTTAGGGAGTTGTTTTCTTCAGTGTATTTTTTTTCCAACTGGCCAACTGTATTTTTGAAGGACTCTTTTACCTCTCTCATTTGACTGTTAAAATCCTTCTTGAGCTCTTCTTAGAAGGCTTTTTGGGCTTCAGACCAGTTCATATTCCTTTTTGTTGTTGCAGGTGTGGGTTTGTTGACAATGTTGTCCTCTTCAGAATTTCTGTCTTCATCTTCACTCTTCTTATAACATGCATCTATGGTACCTTTCTTTTTACTCATGGTGTTTCTTTATTCCCTGGCCTTTAAAGAGATTGAGTTCTCCTGCTGGGGAACAGAGGGTACTGACCCAAGCTTCTTGTGTTGGGAGCCTAGGTCTTGGTCACTGGCTTTGCATGCTGGGGCCTCTTATGCTGGGAATTGGAGGCTGTAGGTTTCTGGCAGCTTACCTTCTGTTGGGCTGGAATCAGCAAGGCTGGAACTTTCAGGCAATTCTAGGTTGCCTGCTTTTCCTTTCCTTTAGCTTTCTTCAGCTCCTTTTAGATGGGTGCTGCAGGATGTTTTTCCGCCTGGGGCTGCCTGCAGTGTTGTCTCCCTCGTTTCTGCTAATGCACTGGGAGATTCCTCCTTTTTGGTGGAGTGCCGAGGCTCCTGGGGGTTTTCTGAGCAGGTTTCCACTGGTTCCCCCCCACTCATTCAGGCACTCGGAGGTCCAGGTATTGGTGTTTCCTGCTGTACCACCTGGGCTTCAGGATTTCTTCACATTTGGGGGCTTCAGGGCTCCGACAGCTCACCTGGTGTTGGGTTGGAATCAGCAAGGCCAGGGCTTTAGGAAGCCTTTAGGTTGTTTTCTTCACCTCCTTTCAGATGAATGCCACAGGGTATTTGTCCGCCTGAGGCCCCTTGTAGTTCTGCCTCCCTTATTTTTGCTGAGGCACTGGGAGACCCGTTTGCTGGGCTGCTGCACTGCGGCTCCTGGTCTTTCTTCTAGTTCAGGTATTCCAGGGGTTTTTTTTCTGGGGTGATATTTTCTGGGTTTTCAGAGTTTGATAGGGGAGAGTGAGAGTGACTACCTTTTCACTCCACCATCTTGGCTTCTCTTCCCTTTTTTAATAATTGGGAAAATATGTATAGCTCTTCTTAACATTCTTCCAAAGATCAACCACAGTATTTCAGCAAAAACATCTACCTGTTCTTTCTGTGCTCAAGGGCATGATTTATTTGTGCCAGATGACTTGAACTTTTTAAAGCTAGGTAACTCAGTGGATAACATGGAAATTAGTCAGGAAGATGTGAATTCAAATCTTGCCTCACAAACTCACTTGCTGTGACCCTAAGCAAGTCAATTAACTTTTCTCTGTCTCAGTTCTTTCATCTGTAAAACTAGAATACTAATATATAGCTCACTAGGTTGTTGTGAAGCTCAAATGAGTTAACATGTATAAAGAAGAGCTTTGCACATCTTGAAGCACTATATAAATGTTAGCTATTATTATTTACTAGGTGCTCTTATCATTTATTTACTTATCTTGGGTATCATCTCCCAATAAGCTATTCTTTTCTGTCCTTTATAGTACAAAAAATAATTCTCTTTGGCAAACAGGCAAAAGAAAAAGTTGAGCAGCTCTGCCTTCTCTCCACTCTTAATCATCTTCTCATCCACCCCAAGCAGTAATCACCTCCCTTCCTTGAACATTCTCTCCCTAATACCACTGCAAAACTACTCAAACTTTATTATCCTAAACTATCTCACCAGCTCATATGCAAACATTTATTATGTACTGTCCATTCCATCTTTGCAATCTCCCTCAAATTCAGTCTCTGCTCTATTCTCACTAAAACCACCTTAGCAGTGGTTAGCATTGCCGCCTTCCTGGATTACTGCATTGTTATTCTAACATGACTTATTGCTTCAACTCTGACAGGCAGTGAGGTATAATTAATGGTTTATTTGATGTGGGATGCAAAAAATCAATGTTCAAATCATGCCTCTGATATTTTATATCCCTTCAATCATGGCAAAACCAAGTTGGTGGTCTTCAAGTTTTCTCATCTGTTAGATGGGCACATGAGTATCTACCTTGAGACTCAGATGAGAAAGTGTGTATAAAAGTTTGGGTAACTTTTAAAATGTTGTATAGTGATGAACTCTGAATGCAGTTTGAAGCATCCTTTTTTTTAACTTTTGATTTACTTTGTGTTTTCTTTTGCAACATGGCTAATATGGAAATGTGTTTTGCATGATCTCACATGTATAAGTAAAATAAAATTGCTTACCTTCTCAAGGGAGGGAGAGGGATGAGAAGGAGAGCATTTGGAACTCCAATTTTTTTTTAAGTGAGTGTTAATTTTTTCTACATGCAATTGGGAAAATTTAATGAAATAAAAAATTTGAAATTGAAATAATGCCATCTAAACATAAGCTAGCATTGTTTCTTTCCCTCCCAACTCACTTCAAATCTATCCTTTGCATGCTTCCCAAAATAATCTTTCCTTATGCACAGACTTGGTCAGGTTATTTTTCTTCTCAAAAAAAGGAAATCTTCAGTGACCCTCTACTGCTGACCAAAAGAAAATTTCAGTTTGGTTCAACAAATCCTTATTATTCACCTATTGCAGGCAAGTTACTGTACTAAGACAAAAATGAAAATCCCTGCACTCCAGGTATTTGAATTCTACTGGAGGAAGATGACACAAACTCAAATACAGAAGCTGAAGCTTATGTAAAGTAATAAAAAATAATTTCAAGGGGAAGAGAGAAATAAAGATCCAACCTCCCTCTCCCATTTTAAAGCATGGTAGGCTTTTCATAGTGCTTATATTTTCAGCCTTATATCATAGAAGATGCTTTTCTTATGCTCCAGTAAAACTGGATTGTTCTTCACCCTGGTGCCTGCCCTGTACTTTCCAGCCTTCCTGCTTTTGCTTAATTGTTCCCTATGACTAAGCTATCCTTCCATCTCCTTGTTACTTATTGAATTCCTACCCATCCTTTAACAATTCAAATGTCACTTTCTTCATGAAGTCTTCTGGGAGCTCCAATCTGTAACAGCATCTTCTCTTTCCTCCCAATACTCATAAGAACTAGTTCTGTTTGCCCACAAAAATCAGAATTAAAAGCGATGGAGAAGGGAAAGGAGGAGAAAAAAATGGAGAAAAGTTGCCAAGAAGCTGACTTGGCTTAATCCATTGAAAAAATGTATAATAGATTAGAGCTACTCAAAAGTGGACAAAAGATCCTCCCTTGGGAACTTATTTTCCTTTATAGATGGGCTTCAAAAGAAGCCTGGATAACCATTTGTCAGGGATATTAATAGTATTATATATCAAGAACTGCAAGAGACCACAGAGTCCACTTCATGTAACCCCTCACTTTACAGATAAGGAAACTTAGGCCCAGGAGGGTTATCTAAGGTCTCACAGGTAAAGTCAGTGGACTCCTGCCCAAGTGCCACTTGTAAGGGCCTTTCTAACTTTGATAGACAGTTCCCTAGGATTGAGAAATACATAGCATATGAAAGTAAGGAAAGAAGGAAGAGACAGACAGAAAAAGAGACAGAAAGAGAGACAGAGACAGAGAGACAGAGAGAAAGGAATTGAGAGAAATGGAGAGAGATTGAGAGAAAGAGGGAGACTGAGAGAAAGAGAGAGAGAGAGAATCAGTGCTCTGTTTGACCTAAAAATCTTTCTTCCCACAGATATGCTAGCTTTATCATGTCACTGGGAACTACTGCTATGTGGATTTCAGGGCTCATTTCTCCCTTCATAACTGGATACTTCATCAACCAGGTAAAGCTCTACACTTAAAAAGGATTTGAACTCTGTGCAGAATAAGGACTGGAAGGAGATAAACACAGAGCAGGAAGACGAAATAGACTCAAAGGACTGCAGAGTGTGGAGCAGGAAGAAACCTTAGAGATTAGCTGTTTTAACTCCTTTATTAACTTACAAAGAAAGTAAGACTCAGTGTGTTTAACTGACCTACACAAGTAATGAGCAGTAGAGTCCAAACTACAGGCCTTTCCCACCAGCCATGCTTTGATCTGGGATTGAGGAGGGAAGGGCACAGTTTAGGAGAAAACTATCAGGGGGAGTCCCAGAAACAGGGAAGGGAAGAGGTCATTCCTTAGGCCAGGACTCCAGCTTAGATTTCAGTGAGGAGGGAGAAGAGGAGCCGCACAGCCATAGGTCTCTTTACTGCATCGTTAGGAAGGGACTCTCTGCTGTCAGAGCCCATGTCTCCCTGTTACAATCTGTATAAACAGTTCTCACTAGGTGGCAACAGGTTCAGTTCTCTGGATGCCTTCTCCTCTAGCTTTTACCTCATATTAAAGGTAAAAGGCTCAAAAATCCTACAGCCTGGCACCACTCTACTGGGCAACTGGTAGGAGGGAAACTCAGGTGATAGGAGGCCACATGGAGGGAAGAGGATTCAGGCAAGTACAGAAAGAGTAGGAGAGACCATAGCTAAAAAAACAAGAGGACCAGGACCCACCACCTTCTCCAGCCCCACCTCTCCCCAACACACACACTCATACATACTCAGCTGAAGCAATATGAGGGTCTAAAGTCTATTTCCAGGAATCCCAAAAGTTCACATTAAAATTCCTCAATAAGAACAATTCATCTTTGTACAATGATGTGTGTGAATATGTATGAACCTGTAATGTCATCGACTTAGGGAACTCTCTGAGAGGACACTCCGTGCTCTGCAGCTAGAGTCGCAGAGTTACCTGAGTCACTGAGAACCTAAGTGATTTCACCAGGGGCCCAGACCTTAGTATGAGGCTGAAGAGAGACTTGAACACAAACCAGTGCTTCACCACTGCTTCTCCAATGGAGGATTAAAGTTTACAAATCACTCTCCTCACAACCAGCCTATGAAGCAAGTTGTGCTAGGTTATTATCGCCATATCTTTATAGATAAGGAAATGGAGGCTTTGACCAAACAGGTGCTCCATGGTGACAAGATGAGTGTCAGAGTCGGCATGTATACGACATTTCCTCACCCCAAATCCAAGACTCTGTCCACTGCATCTCAGTGCTTCCCAAACCCTTTGCTTCATCATGTTTTGAAGCTTCACTTAATTCACACTAACTCAATGAAAGGCACTTTAATTAAAACCAAAAATGATAATCTCATAGAAGGCCCTCCCTGACATGAAGAATTTCATGTGTTTTCTGAGAAGATTTAGGAAGGTAGAAACTTTTTTGGACCAATATTAAAACTTGAACTGACAATTTTTGTGCCCATAGGATAATACAACTGGCTGGAAGAATGTTTTCTTTCTATCATCTGCTATTAATGTATTAGGAATGATTTTCTACCTCATCTTTGGCCAGACAGACATCCAGAATTGGGCCAAAGAGCAGAGACTCACCCGCTTCTGAGGGGCCATGGGAAATGAACTGAAAATTCATCCTTAAGGATTTTTAAGGTCATCCTTGACTTCTCAACTCTCAGGCAATATACGCCATTGTCAAGCTTGTCTTTTTAATATCCACAACATCTCTTATGTGTGTCTGCTCTTCTCCACTCAGCCACCACCCTAGTTGAGGCCCTCATCACCCTTGCTTAATCTATTGGAATGACCTTTTGCATCTCCCTGCCTCATCTCTTCCCCACTCTGATGCATCCTCCACACAGCTGACAAAATGATTTTCCCAAAGCCCAAAACTGATCATGGCACTCACCTCTAATCAACAAATTCCACTATCTCCCAATTGCCCCTATTTTATATTTCTTCCCCATTTTGTATAATTGTTCCAGTCACATTTCTCCATCCTTGAGTTAAGCTCAGGAATACAGTTTTCTCTCTGAGTCAATTTAAAGGTATAGTTAAAAGGCAATGTTGTTATCACTCTGACCATTACCTCCTGGAACATCTGCTTGTCATCTATAAGTCCCAACCAGCTCAACCTGGTACCATCCCCAAAAACGTTTTCATCCTTGCCTGCAGTTAGAGGTGATTGGATATCCTCCAATAGGACCCCAAGGCCAGTGGTGCTGAACCCCTAGCAAATATTACAAAAGGTAGATGAGTGGCATGAAACAATTATCAGAGAGGGCCAAAGCACTTTTCTTAGTATAGCCAATTGTGGTCTTCCTCAAATAACCTGACCCCTCTTTTCCTGTGTTTCAATAAAGAGGATCTCTTCCTTCTCACTGGGGTCACTGGCCTTGCTAAGGTTGCCAGTCTGACCCACTTTGTTAACAATTATACACATCACTGTTAATAAATTGATTCTGCTCAAAGTCTGCACCTCAGTTTTCAGCTCAGTTATTTCAATCATGTCAGACTCTTTGTAACCATATTTGGAGGTTCCTTGGCAAAGATATTGGAGTGGATTGTCCTTTCCTTCTCCAGCTTATTTTACAGATGAGGAAATTGAGGCAAACAGGGTTAGGTGACTTGCCCAGGGTCATACAGCTACTAAGAAATCTGAAGCCAGATTTGCACTCAGGAAGATGAGTCTTCCTAAGTTCAGGCCCAGTACTCTATCCACTGTGCTGCATAGCCTGCCTGTTCCTCAGTTGATCTTTATTGAATTTACTCTAAACAGTACGCATTCTGTATATAGTCATGAGTATATGGCATCTCATTCATTAGGATATAAGTTCCTTGAGGGCAGGCTGTGTTTCATTCCTGTCTTCATATCCTCAGCATTTAGTCTAGTGCCTCCCACAGAGCAGACACTTAATCCATGCTTATTCATTGGTTTTAATCTTTTATTCCCTGACCTGCTGGCTCCTTAGCTATGAGTCTTGGTTCTGGATCCAGCCCTGTTCTTTAGAGATGTGGTCAACCTAAGCAGAGGGTACTCGGCTGATTCTATACATGTTTTACTATAGCCAGATGTCCCCACAAGATGAACACACAAGTGTCACAAAATTACAAAATATTGTACAAGGGACCCTGGTGATCATCTAGTCCAACCCTTGCATGAAAAGGAATACCCCAGGAATTAGGTTGGCAGAGGAGCAGAAAATAATGTAAAGAGGAGCTTTCTGCCGCACTCCCAAACAGATCTAGAAAACACATCAGACATCATACTGATGGCGAAATCCAAGGAAAAGTTATAGTACATGATTTTTCCAGCCCAGTTCAGCACAGGGTGACAAGGAGGTCTGTGAACACTGGAGGTGAAGTCACGACCAGCACCTTGCTGGACAGTATGCCAGCACCCAGAGCAAAGGTAAGAACTGGGGCAAGAAGAGGTCCTAGACCAATACAAGGTATCCCCAGACCTCTACCAAAGCACCAAGATGCTGGGACAGGTGAAAAGTGGCACCTTTGTTGCTCACTACCTAATCCCCCCAGCAACAGATGCACAGTAGACTAGGAGAGGACCTGCCTCAATCCACCGCACCCCAAATAGTCTCCAGCCCTGGTAGTATACTGAGAAGGAAGCAAGTTCAGAAGCAAGCAAAAGCAGTGTGTCTCAGACACCAGGAGCAGAACAGGTTATCAGGTCCAGCCTCCAGCATTATCTGAAGAAGGGAGAATAACCAGGCCATACCAGACCAAAGGGAAACCTGCAGTTCTGTCCTTCTGAACCAGCAGAGATTCCCAGGTGGCTAACAGTAACTGAGTCCAGCACCAGCCTCCTCTTTCTCAGACCCGAACCTAGGTCAGAAGTTTGAAGAGCTCAGAGCAGAGGGGTAGAAATCAGGCTTTGTCCTGAATCAGACCAATATGGAAGCTCTGAAAGCTTGCTGGTCCCCAGCCTGAGCTATCCCTGAGATCCTAGAACAATGCAACACATGACCCCCAAGAAAGCAGCAAAAGAACCAGCCACACATTCCCTACAGAGACTACCCGTAATATGAAGTCTGAAGTCAGAAGTAGGCTGGAAGAATGAGCAAACAAACAAAAAAGAATTCCACCACATACAGTGTTTATGGTGACAAAAATGCTCAAGACACAAATGCAAAGAATGACATCAAAATATCTACAAGCAAAGGTTCTGTGAAAAATACAGATTGAATAGAGTCTACACCAGATTGCACTCTGTCTTGGGGGAGAGGGGAGGAGAGAGAGGGGGAGGAAATTTAAAACTCAAAATCTTATATAAGTGAATGCTGAAAGCTAAAAATAAAATAATTGTTAAAAGAAAAGAAAACAATAGAATAAAAATACAGCTTGGGCATAAATTCAGCTAGAACTCCTGAGAGAGATAAGTAACAATTTGTTTTATTTTTTAAGAGTTGAAGGAAGCTGGGTGGTGCCATAGATAAAGCACTGGCCCTGGAGTCAGGAGAACTTGAGTTCAAATCCAGCCTCAGACAATTGACACTACTTGTGTTGTGTGACCCTGGCCAAGTCACTTAACCCCAGCCTCATAAAAAAAGTCTTCGAATCCAGACTCCTTTTATGAGGCAGCTAGGTGGCACAGTAGATAGATCTCTGGCCTTGGAGTTAGGAGGACCTGAGTTCAAATCTAGCCTGAGACACTTGAAACTGACTAGCTGTGTGACCCTAGGAGAGTCACTTAACCCCCGTTGCCTCACCAAAAAGCAAGAAAAAAAAACGATTTGAAAATGTTCTTGCCAATGAAATAAGCATGTTAGAGGAGGAAATGGGGAAGAAATGAAAGCTATGGAAGAAAGAATTGCAAAGGGAAGTAACAGCTTGACACAAGAGGTGCACAACTTTACCCAAGTAAAAAATTCCCTGAATATCAGAATGGAACAAACAGAAGCCAATGACTCCATAAGACAACAAGAAACATTAATACCTTAAAGTGCTAAATAAATGCTAATTGTCATCATCATTATTATTATTGATTATTCCTGGAAGTATTGCTTCTCTAATGGAGCCCAGGGTTCTATTGGCCTTTTGGGGTTCCCTTAAACACTGCTCACTCATATAGAGTTTTGCAGTCCCTTTAATCTTATTCACATACAATATTGAGGCCTAAATATGACTCTCAAGATTCTTCCTTCAATGCACTAGCTGGGCAGCTGCTCCTGAACTCTAACCCTTAGGGACAGTAATGAATTAATATGTCTTGTGCTTCTTTCAGATTTATGATTAATAAAAATGCCTTCCCATTTCAAGCTTTAAAAAGGAGGAATTCAGTTCTCATCAAAACTCCTTAAATAGGCTGATATATTTTGTATTCACTTTCTAGTGATGTTGCTCTAACCTGCCTCTTCTAAGTTTTTGAAACTGTGAGAAAAAACTGTAGGTGAGCCGTATAAGTAAAAAGAAAATATTGATAACTTTAGAGAGGGCACCTTCAGTTCAGTGGTAGGATTAGAAATCAGATTCAAAGGAGTGGAGAAGAAAGTAGGAAAAGAAGGAATAGATACAGTGAGCATAAGTAACTTCTCCCAGGAGTTTCGCAAAGAAAGACATATAGAATGACAGCTTGAAGGGATGGTAAAATAAAGTGAAGGATGGGGGAGAGGGGAGGACTTTAAAAGGTGGCAAAGATACCAATGAAAATAATTTTTTAAAAAGTTTGATGATTAGATAGTAGGAATGACTGATGTGGCAAAGTCCTGGAGGAAATAGTACAGAATGAATGAATGTCAGCTTGGGGGTTTATTGGTCTTACCTCCCACTTAGCAGTAAATGGTCTCTAAATGTGATCAGTAAGGAGTCACTCAAGGGAATAAAACACAGCCCATTTACAAAATTCACATTCTGCTATGGTGGTGGTGGCTGAATCATATTCAACTCCTTGTGACCCATTTGGGGTTTTCTTGGCAGATGCTAGAATGGTTTTCCATTTTCTTCTCCAGCTCATTTTACAGATGAGGAAACTGAAGCAGAGTTAAATGACTTGCTCAGGGTCACACAGCTAATGACTGAGGCTGCATTTGAACTCAAGTCATTCTGACTCCAGACCTTGTGCTCTATTCACTGTGCCGCCTAGTTGCCCAGAAATATAATAGATAATAGTAATAATAATTTTACATAAATTTGATAGAGCAAAGATGTCTTAAGATGCCTTCATCTCTGAAAAGCACAGTTCTAAGATCTTGCCGCCCCTGCTAATAGTTTACAGTGATTAAGTTAAAATGATTAATAGTGTTGGAATCTTGCAATATACTGATAATGGGGCAAAACTTCAATACTTCTCCATCAATTTCCACATCTAATCAGTTGCCAAGAATTGTTGACACTGCCTTCATGTCATTCACATCACCTTGAGGTGCTATTCCATAGGACTGAGATTCTCATCTTTAATTTCAATACAACAAACAAACAAAAATCTGTTTGATTCTCAGTAGACACAGAAACACACACACACACACACACCAATCCACTTGTAATCTTCTGAATAATCCACCATATACTTGAAAATCATATGCAATATTAACATCTCTCCACTAGTCTTCTCCATCTTTTTCTCAAAGGTATTGTTAAAAAAAAAAAAAG